TTATAAAATTTTTTTATTAATTAATTAAAAAATAAAAAAGTTTTATTAGTAACATATATCAATTTTAGATGAAAATTCTAATATACCATACATAACTATATAAAAATGATCTACGTGCCCTCTACCCTTAACATTGTCTGTTTTTTTAGTATTGCTTATATTAAATTTTTTTCTTTTTATTAGAACCTTGAAGTATATTTTAATTTTTTTTTGGTTATTGATTTTTAAATTGCCACCAAGATATTGCATAAATATTATTGTGCATTGAATCATCACAATAAAATATAGTAAGCTACTAATATTTTAATACAAAGATATAATTTCACATTTACTAATTTTATTGTTTTTATTTTAGAATAAAATTGAAAAAAATTATTTATATATTTTTTCATATCTTTACATAAATCATATTAATATTATTAATTACATCATTAATTTTATAATTTATACTTGCTGACAAAACCAAAGCACTTCAAAAATAATTGCTATATATTTATAAAAAATTAAATAAAATTTGAGTTATAAATTTGACCAAACCTTTTAAATTTGTTTACTTTAAGTAACTTAATGTAAACAAACCCAAAGGATCCGACAAAACTTATAGCTCAAAATTTTATTAATAATTCTTGCTTAAATATATAAATCAAATATGTTCTTATAGTTATAAACAATATATTTGATAAAATTTTAAGATTATTTGTTTGATTAAATATATAGCAATTAATTTTTTGAAGGTTTGGGTTTTGCCAGCAAGTATACACTAATCACGGGACCTTCGAACCAGCCGAAATTGATATGTATTCACCTTTTAACCATTTTCAATTTTAGGTTTTCTTCAATTGTTGTCTATATATAACATATTGCGAACACCAACTTTCACCGAATAACCGATTTTCATCGTGATAATAATAAGTATGGCCATTACAGCATTACCGTATAAGCATGAAATAACGCAGGGGCGTTATTTTGAATAATAGACTTTAATTTAGGTCAAATTTCGAAATTACACCCCTGCGCGTTATTTCGCGCTTATATGGTATTAATTGAAAATTTAAAATATCCATTTGTCTCATTAAGCAATAATTAAATTATACCTATCTGTTTATGTGCTCGTTCGCAATTATCTACATCTCGATTAAAATTAATAACTGCACTTTTGAATTTAACCGAATTGCTTTTGGCATATCCTTGCTTAATCATCGTTTCTGTCAACTTGAATATACTCACTTCAAAATTTTATGAATACATGCCATAGGAGTTTGTTGTAAACATTTTTAATAGTGACTTGTGATATAGGTTTTTTATACGGCTTTTTATATTGCAACTTATCATAACAGTTTGTTGTATAACAAATTTGTTATATAATTATGCAATTGTTGTCTAACAGTAATATCATGGTTTTATAAGCTAAAAATAATTGCTTATAATCTTATAACATTTTAGAATAATGACTATGTAAAGGCTATGTAACGGGCTTTATAATAGCTATAGAATGGTTTTGAATATTCAAATTTATTCAAATTCATATTATGAATTGATTTGAATATTCAGTTATTCGTATATTCGATCCCAACCTCTAATTGATGGATTATCGTAAAGCTCTCGCAATATAGAATTTTCATTTTCTTTGACTTCAAGGTCCACATCCATGTGCTGAGTACCTTCATTTGAATCATTTTTAAATATTCCACTTTTTTTCTACGATAAAATTTCAAGTCATTTTTTGATTTGTTAGAAAGTAAATAAATTAATATATTAACATACCTTTTCTAATTTACGTAATATTTTCATTAAAGTTTTGACTTTGACATTGTAGGGTTTTGGAAATTTTTCAGCATAAAGCCTCATACCATTCAATAGATGTATATATCCGTTCTGATATGATAAAAGAATAAATATGTATATATTAAATATTTGCTCATTCCTGAACAATTGATATTCTTACTTACATGATCTATGCATGTGGGATATTCCTCATTCCACGCCAAAATTAAATATACATGAGCGTAATGTTGCATTTTTGGAACGGCACTAAACACGTTTTTAACCCATAAGTTAAGGCAAAAGTTGTCCATATTATTATCAGCAATTTTTTCAAAGAATTTCATTTCCTATTTAGGCATATTAGTAAATAGCTGTTCATAATAAGCGTGCCTGCATATGTACATAATAATACCTGTTCAGGACAATTAGCTTGCAATGTTGTATTGGGTAACGTGAGATCTTGAATTCTCTTGCCCTGTTTTAAAAAGTAAATAAATAAAAAATTTACAGATAGTATGCAATAATTTTAAATTGCCTTAAAGTATTTGTAAAAATAAGATAAAATGAAATTACCAGGCTAATAGGTTTAACCTTTAATTAAAAAAATAACTATTAAAGTATGGAGATACGATACTGCTCATAATTAAATATACTATCGATCTGAAAACTCACCCGCCTAGAAGGACGAATGGACGATGTGGACGATGAAGGTTGACTCGAAAATTGAGGATGGACAGAAGAATTATTGGACAGCAAGAGTTGTGGAGAATGAAGTGGAAATAAAGGTTGAGGAGGATCTTGCTGAGTAGTATTTTTCTTTTTTAAAAAAAAATAGAGATACATATAATAAGTAAATTTTCACAAAAAGAACAAAAAAAAAACTATAAAATGATATTTAATTACCCATTGTTCTCGAAACTTTTCGATGTCATAACAAACGTTTATGAAATCTACAAGGTTTTCATCATACGCGTTTAATTCTACATTCTTATATAACTCTACTCCACGTTTTATATAATCCCACATATGTATCTAGAAAATATAAATATGATAGTAATATTTAATATTTTAAGCGTGCAAAAATGAATAGTGGATAGTGGATTAACCAACTTACTCCTGGAGTTCTATCATCATGAAAAATATCGGTCCAAATTGAGTAAAGTGTTTGCTCCCCTATAGTTCTGAGGTTAATGTCTTCTGATTTCATGTAAGTGGCCCATTGAAGAAGCTCACTGTATGGCAGTCTACCCGAAACCACCACCACAAATTTTTTTAACTTGCTGGAATATTCGTCCTAATGTATATAAAGGTGGATAAAAAATTTCTAAGCACACGCTAAAATCTAATTTTTATATCATACTAATTTTTAAAACAATAGTTTTAATTTCTAACCTCCGCTTTGTTAAACTCTGGAGGTACCTTTCCTTTCTTACGTCTCATGACAGTAACTGGCGCGCATGTACAAAAAAAAAAAGCAAGTTTATAAATTTGTACGTGTGTTTTGATCAGCTGATTGATCGTCCTAGGTAATATAGCAGTCAGGGAATATGTCACGACGATCGATTTTACATAAAACGTTACACAAAAATCAGATGTTTCCTTTTCGTTCGTTGCAAAGTAAAACTGTGAACCTTACTAGAAACTCGATCTTTACGCTTTAACAAAACTCGATTTTCTTGCTTTGTAGCATATATTTATGACTTTGTTTTTTTATTTTTATCTTATTTTTTTTAGGTATTATAAGTTAAAAAAGAGCATAATTTTCACCTTTATCGCCCACATTCTTTTCACGAAAATAAATTATACCGGATCTCGTTGACTCATAAGCTAGCATAAACGACAAACTGTATGGTTACTTAGAGGTATTAAGTAGTTTTCATTAATAAATTTTTGAGTTAGAGTGAATTTGAGATTTTATATTATTATTAGGCATTAGAAGTTCAATCAACTCGGATCGGTAGGCATAAACTTATTACTAGAGATGTGCCTCTCGCACGAAATGCTGATGTCATTCAATTGATTCTCGCGCGAGATAATATAAATAATTTATTATGACATCAGCATTTCACGCTAGAGGCACATCTCTGCTTATTAATATAAAAGTTATACGGGTTATATAATTTATTTTAACATTTTTATATACTTTATTTCCTTTATTTAAAATTTATTAAAGATACATTTTTTTAATCATCTTTCATAGATAGTAAATATTGTTTAGCCAAGACACTAACTAATTCCTTAACCTGCTTTTCTTTTGTAACTTTTTCTTTAGTTTTATAGATATCTTCATGCAGAATATTATATAGTCAAATGAGACCATTTCTATAAAAATTAAACATTTGCATATAACTGTCTGGTTTCATTTCTTGTGTATGTTGAAAAAGACCATGTTGTGTAGGATCAGGGTGATTAAATGCATTGGTAAGTTTATCAACAAGCTGCCATAAAGCTTCAGTATGTTGTTTAACAGCTCAATCTCTTGTACTAATTACATTGTCTCTCACAAATTCATTATATAAAAGTAGCAATCTTTCATGCTCATCTTGAATTGCTGTTATTCTTTGCTTTAGAATTACTGGATCTGATAAGTCAGATATTAAATTTTGTTTAACAAATTTCATGCCGTATTGTTTTAGGGTTTTATCAAAAGTTAAGTAATGATTTTCTCAAATAATATTTACTAAAGCAATATATTTGAATAGTTTATATTGCTGTGAGTAACACAACACTGATTCTAAAAAGGTTACAACTAATGATGTATAAATATTTTTGCTATTAGCAGAAAACAATAGTGTAAATGCTACCAAATTTTTTAATTGCATTTTCACATTATTTAAACATATTTTTACATAATAACCTTTTTAATATCCAGCTAAACAGTAATATAAAAACCATACTTTTAAGATATTATTATTACTTTCAAATATAATTTCTGTGTCTAATAGTATATTTTTATTATTTAAATATAGATTAATTGCTATTCTTATAGTAGAATATATTAATTCTAGTACTTTACAAGTTGCATGATAGTTTACGTTTTGTTTCAGCTTGTCAAGAAATTACACACCAAGTTTTCTGTCATACTATAAAGATCATATCTGCTAAACACTGAAATTAAAGCACTGCACATGGTCTTTGATGTATGTCATTATCCAAGAATAAATCTGCAAGATAAGTTTTCATTTGCATATGATTTAGTTCTTTCAAAAATAGCTGCATTACATGTTAAGTCAATAATGTCTTGTCCAAGATCTTCTAGATATATATCAATTGACTTGAATATGGCAGTGTTGCTATCAGGTGCTAGTCCAGGTTTTAATATAACAATATTTAGTAGATTTATTTGATATACTGACTCTATTTTAGAAGCTATTTCTTCATTAATTTCTTTAATACTGAAGTTTTTTTCATGTTTATCTAGTAACTGTTTTATGATTTAATCAAAATTTTTATTCTATTCAGATGTGAATGCTGATTGATCAAATAGATTTTCTTGAGGTTCTAAATTTTCTTGAACAAGAGATGAAATCTTAAACGAAAGCTCAAACTAGAACACTATTCTTAAAGTAGAATGTATGGATTGCCAGGTGACATCGTATATATTTCTATACTTAAAGACAATATTCTTAAAATCGATATTATCAATAACTGCAACATTCTATATGTTGGGACCTTTTATTAATTTTGTTAGTAGATTTGATTTTTTAACATGCTTCTTTTCCAATCTCGTCTCATGTTTCCATATATGAGACATAATGTGTACTGCATTTAGAACTGCTTGTAAAGAAGATATTAACTTAGACTTTTTACACAAAGAAGCTATGGTATAGGTAAGCCATATTTTCTATGAACGAAATATTATTGTTAGAATAATAGATGCAAGAAATAATGTGATTTTTTTATAGGACTTATATCAAATTCTGACGCCATTTTTTTGTATTGTCTATTTTTCCTTTCTCTTACTACATATTTTTATTTTTCAATAGATTCGATCAATTTATCAAAGAAACTAGTAAGAGCTAAAGGAAAACTAGTATAATATTCATCTAATAATAATGGATTCTCTAGTTTATTACAGTTTTTTTCAATGTCATTGCATGAGTCACACATTGACTTTCCTAGCATTTCTCCAAATTATTTGCATTCTTCTGCTTTTATTTGCTTTTTATCTGTAGACGAATAATGTTTGAGTTTATTAATTTTTATAGCGATTTTTATGAGTAATAGGCTAGGTAAATTATGCTTTGTATCAGTAGAGAATGATGAACTCGATTTTGGAGATTCTAATAATTTTATCATATGCTATAATATTGTTTTCTTTTTTGCTCTTATCTTAAGAATATAAAAGATTTGATAGCTAATTTGAAAAAATCTCAAAATGTAGTTAGTGTCTTCATTATATAATTCATTATCAACACATGTTTTAGATGTATTTTCTGATCTTTGATGTATATGAAGATGCCCACCATTGCTTTCAAAACAACTTATGCAGATATATCTAACACAATTATCATTAGTAACCTTCGAAGCAATATTTAAAATTATTTGAAAAGCTGAACATAATCTAAAACCAAGGCATGGTACTTGAATGTCTCTTCTGCATATATTCTAGCAATGTTTTATACAATTATTGCCTTTACTAAAAAACTTCTTATATTTGTTGCAGAGTAAACATTTTTTTGTATGAATTATACTTTTATTAACATTTCTTATTTGTTTAGTACTAGACGAATGAAGTTTGTTATGATTAAAATTAAAATGACTAGAACAAACTCCTAACTCAGTAATATCTAAATTTTCTTCTGGGGTTATTTTTATTTCCCAAGTTTCAATTAACTAAGATCATGATATTAATTTAATTGTCGAATTGCAGCATTCAATCTCCTTCTATGAATTATTGAAAATGATACAGAGTAACCATTTTTTCATTTTAACCTCTGGGATTTCATTATTCTCATCATCTTCACTATCCTCAGGTATTATATTTTTAACATCACCTTCTTTATTTTGTATTATCTGATCTTCTAACAAATTTTTTACTTTTGTTACAGCTAGATAATCATGAGTAAATTCTTGATCATTTTAATCTGTAATCCAATTTTCTTCTAGGTTCTTAAGTCTAAAATAATAATCATCTATATCTTAGTCTATATTCATAGTTTCTTCCAGATCTTCAAGCCTAGAGTAATCGTCTATATTTTGATCTGTGATCAAAATTTCATTTAGATCTTCAAGTTTTGAATTGTAATTATCCATAGAAATTAATTACAGAAGTAGATTTATTAAGAAAGCTTTGATAAATATTTGTAATTAATAATTTGAGATTTTGGATAGAAGTCTAACAGACATCTTATTTATAATGAATTCAATTAACTATAATAAATATTTCAGAAATGTGTTTTAAAGAAGCATTTTAAATATATTTGGGAAGAATGTTTCAGAAGAGCTTTTAAATATTGGGAAGAGAGACTTTTAAAAGGCATTCTGAAGTGATATTTGAAAAAATATGTGTAAGAAGAGTGTTTCAAATGTGTTTCAGGCAAAGTTTACTAAAATTTATATGATTAAAGATAGAATAACACTTTTACATTGAATATTATAGATTACAGATAAGTTTTAACTATTCAGAATTAAATATTTTTTACAAGAAACACAGAGTGAATATATCAAGAAATAAACACGACACAAGAATGTTAATATTATTCTGATAAAGCATATTTGCTACATGCATTTTATTAATATAAGTATATAGTATTCTTTATTTAAATTATTTATATACATTATACTTTATTAATTCAAATTTATTCTGAAATTATTTTATATCTAGCTTGCAATATCTGTCATTAAATAACCATGGTATAATTTATTTCTATAATGCATATTATTACAACTAAACTTTTTACTAATTATTACTTTATTATAATGTAAATTAGACTAAACAATGGAGATTAGAGACAGAGATAGGAGCTTGTCCTTTTTTGTTTTTTTTTTGTATACAGGCGTGAAACTAGTACTGAACAGTAGAGATTGGGTATTGAGAACTAGCCTGATAATATGCATTAGTTTTTTTTTTCATATTATCTTCTTGCTATAAAGTAATATCAGTGCCAGGCAATAGAAATTGAGCATGTATGAGGATTTGGAACTTGTTCAAAGACAAATGCTAGTTTATTTTTCTATTTTCATTTTTATTTTCTTTTCAATTAAACTAACTTTCTTTTCCTTTTTGCAGATTTGGTTCTAAGATTAGCATTGCATTGCAAAACAGAAAATACAGTAGCTAATTCATATGGTGGATTTATATTTAGTTTAATTAATTTAGAATAGTTTCAATATTTGTTTGGTATAATAAATTTATTAAATAAAATTATCTTTATTTTTTTTTTTAAAGTATTTGTATGTTAATTTATTAATAATAGTGGTTTATTACAAACTAATTACATAATTTTAATAAATGATAATTAATTAAAAAAATGTATGAATTTCTGTCCCATATACAAAACCCGACTGTTGTTACATTACAATGACTAAATATGATCTCACAAAACCCTAACCCTAATACTAATTTCACATTCTAGCAAAGCTAAACCTGCAAAAAAATAATTAGAACAACCAACAAACTGTTGTTTATTTATGCTAATTCTTAGTTTTTTGTCACAGAAATCAGCCCTACAAAAAAGAAGAGTTAATTCAACTAAAAAGAAAATTAAAAAAAAAAATGAATATTTACAAAAAAAAAATACTGATACTTATCATTGAACTAGTTCTAAAATTCCTAATCACATCTAATTTTCATTACTCAGCACTAATTCTACCTTCTGATAAAGTTCAAACTTGTAAAATAAAAGAAAATTAAAAAAAAAAGATAAGCTAGTATTTTTGTTTAAACTAGTCTAAAATCTTCATTATCAGTATTAATTGCACGTTTTAATGAAACCCAAATCTATAAAAAGAAGAAAAGTCAGCTTCAATTAAAAAAAAAAAAATCAAACAAAAAGAAGTAGAAATAGTACTTATTTTCTTTAAATCAGTCTTAGTCCCTAGTTATCTTTAATTATTAATGATATTAAAATCACTTTCTGAAGATAAGATCTATGAAAGTTGGTTTTAATCAAAAAAAAGCCATAATAACAAAAAAGAAACTGGTACTAATTTTCAAATCAGTTCTCAAGTCCTAATAATGCTCAATCTCCATTGATCAGTACTAATTTTAGTGAAAACTTAATTTACAGAAAGAAAAAGTTAGTTTTCACCAGAAAAGAATGTCAACATGGATCTAAGTTGAAATCCAAAACTCCTACCATGAGATCTTGCATTTTAGTAATATTTTCTATAGTCCAGATTCCAAATAGTTGGTAATCTTCAAGCTCAACATCCTTTTTTGTTTGCATATTTAACCTTTCTCCAAATTTTTGTTGTTAATAGCTCGAACTCAGTAGAATACCATTATTTAGAGAACTTTTTAAATATTGCTTTAGGGTCATATAGTTCGATCAAGTGTAAATGAAATTTTCTTGAAATTTTTATAATAAATTTTCAAAATATGATCTACATTTTTACTATAATCAGACACTTATATTTACTGTCATGTGACATATTCCCTGACTAATAGTATAGGATAGTAAAAGACATTCAATCAATACATATAGGCATAAAGTGTTGTACATTATATAATTTAATATCATGGTGCAGCACTATATATGATTTATACTAATTAAGATTTTTCAATTTTTGTTGATCATTTTATTGAAAAAAATTCAGCATAGTAATTTACTATTAAAATCACATATTTTCAAAATGTTCTAACTCTAGCTCTAGTAAAGCAAATTCAATTTTGTAACTTGCAAATGATATATGAATAGAGTAATTTTAAAACTATGTTAAGACATTTTTTAATTTATTTTATTAATATAGCTAAATTTTCAAATCTTTTTTTAGTTACAAATTTAAATAGTAAAATATTTACAATTTATGAGTTTAAACTATAGAGACCTGAAATATTTACTTATAATGCTTAAATGTCTTAACATAGTTTTAAAACTACATTATTCATATATCATTTACAAGTTATAGAATTAAATTTGCTTTACTAGAGCTGGAGTTAGAATGTTTTGAAAATATGTGATTTTTTTAAAAAATTTATAATAGATAATTTATTATAACAATTATGAAAATCACATATCTTAAAAACAGTCTAACTCCTGCTCTAGTAAAGCAAATTCAATTCTGCAACTTGCAAATAATATATAAATAATGTAGTTTTAAAACTATGTTGAAACATTTTTTAATTGATTCTATTAATAAAGTTAAAATTTCAAATATTCTTTTAATTACAAATTTAGTAGTAAAAGATTATGATTTATTAAAGACCCAAAATATATACTTTTATATAATTCTTTAATATCTCAACATAGTTTTAAAACTACACTACTTATATATTATTGGTAAGTTACAGAATTGAAATTGTTTTACTAGAGCAGGAGTTAGAACATTTTGAAGATGTGTGATTTTTATAATTTTTATAATAAATTGTCTAAATTTTTATAAAAAATCACATATTTTCAAAACATTTTAACTTCAGCTCTAGTAAAACAATTTCAATTTTGTAACTTGCAAATAATATGTGAATAGTATAGTTATAAAATTATATGAGACATTTTTTTAATTGAATTTAAATAATAAAATATTACAATTTATATTTAAACTAGAAATACTTATATGTAATTCTTTAATTCTCAATATAGATTTAAAACTACACTATTCATATATCATTTGCAAGTTATAGAATTGAATTTGCTTTACTAGAGTGGAAGATAGAATGTTTTGAAGATGTGATTTTTTATAATTGTTATAATAAATTAGTTATGAAAGTTTATTTTCAAAATGTTTTAACTTCTATTCTAAAAAAACAAATTCAATTCTGTAACTTGCAAATGATATATGAGTAGTGTAGTTTTAAAACTATGTTGAGGCATTTTTTTAAATAATTTTAATATACTATAGTTAAAAAATAAATTAAAATTTTATTATTTTTTAATTACGAATTTAAATAGTAAATAGTGCCTATTTTTAAGCCCTATATAGAGTATATATATATATGTGCATAATATTATTTTAAACTAAGCATACCAAACTACAGGCTTCACTTGAAATACCTAGCATATATTTTACATCACACAAATTATATAATAAAATTTATTTTACATTATGCAAATGTTAGTTTTATTTTAAGTAATTTAACATAAAAGGACATAACTAAATCATTGTTTTATTTAAAACAAAACTTTAGTAAATTCGCTATTATTGGTCGTCTCATTAAGCGTGATACACCAACTTGATACATTTGAATTAAAATATAATTATACAAAATTTTACATATTAACTTGCAATTAAATAAA